TATAAAGACCGGAACATTTATCAGAACAAAAACACGAGTTCAAGGTTCTTTATTTGTCATACGAACATAGCTACGGAGTAGTTATGTCGATGAAAATCTTAGGTCACAGGCTTCTCCAACAGTGCAACACAATACAGAAAAACTGAAAAATATAGTGCAAGTAAATATTAAAAAGTAAATACAAAAAGAAAAATAGTTTAAAAAAAGTGAAATAGTGAAATAAGAGTCTATATGCAAGCTATTGCAATGATATATTAGATAAATAGATAAATAATTACTAAGTAGCAGATGAATGTTATATAGTTGCTCAAGGTCCATGTTTTTGCGCAATGGGAAAAAAACATATATAACAAAAATGTCCACAATAAGAAAGAAATCTATTTGAACCCAATAATGCATCGCCATGAATGACCCAGAATATTTAACAGACCTTGAAAGAACCACTACTGAGAAACCTTCCTTTAAATTCTGCATGATATTAACATGCCAAAACAAAGCCAACCAGCTGAACACTAAAGCAGAGTCCGTCTTCCTGACCTGTGACACACTTCCCCTCCACACACTGACGCACACACTCTTTCCACCAGTGCACCCTGTAGCTGTCACTCATTCCCCGCTGCAGTGACCTCTGTCAGGCTTGTGTCACTTTTTGCGGAGCGGGGTTATAACGCCATCTATACGCACTCACTCTCCATTTGTTTATTTATTTGTCCGCGTCGCTTCAGTTTCCAGTGTCTGCCTTCATCCTGTCAATCTTCTACTCCCCACTTCTCTCACGCCCCTCAGATGTCTTGTCTTTTTACTCGCCACCTCCCCCTGTTTTTCCCCTTCAGGTGTCTGCAACAGAGGTGTTGGATTTCACCTGTCTACAGATCCACTCTCTACTTTCACTGAGTTTCTCTGAACTTTGTGAAGACTTTTTATATACTCTTCTTTTCAGAACTTATCTGTATTTATGAAACCAAAACATCCTTCATTCCAAGCAATGAACGAAATAGGAGAGGACTATTAAGCAGTTTATCAAGAGAGGATGCATCTGAGTGATGTTGGAGCTGCTAAGAGGTATTGTGCACCACAGTTTTTAAACAGTATAAACGTTAAAGTTGCGAAACTTTGCTACTCTGAAACCACAACAAAGTTTATTTATGCATACGACTACATGTAAAGCGAAAGAGTTCACTCTTGGAGACAAACCAATAAATAATTATCACGACTCTGCAGTTCCCCCAGCTCAATGCGTTTTAGCATCTTTCAGCTCATTAAACCAAGTACTTCCTTTACTATTTTTAACTCAGTTAACGGTGTTTTTTAAGACCAACCTTTCCACAGGAGTTGGTAGAGAGTAGAGACCAAAGAGCAAATATTTAACCTACCGGAAACATAACGAATATTCACCATATCAACTTTCATGTAGTGATACTACGTCAGTGTTGGAGTTACGGCTTGTTGCACTGCCCCCAAAATGGCAAAGAAAATAATCCCTGAGAGCAAAGATTGTGAATAGAAGTCATTTTTTTAGATTCTTTTTACCACACTTCAACATGTCAGGGACCAGATTCAGATCACATCCTGCTCAATGAAATCCCAGCCAACCTCGACAAAACCCCCTGCTGAAATAATAATTGAGGATAGATGTGAATGATGTGACCGGAGATGATCAGGGTAGTGTGTGGCAGAGTTTGTCAGGAGATTTCATTTCAAGCAATTAAAGATGAATTTGATAAAGATGCAATGATGTCAATTTGTTTTCTTATTTGTGTTGCTGTATTGGAACCAGTTTCCTCCATTAAAAGGGTTTCTGTACTTGTAAGCCTTCACATGCTCATTTCTCAAGTCCTGTGTGTGTGCGTTTACATGTGTGTGCTTGTGTGTTCACCACAGCAGTGCTGTAAGAGCTAGATTTTCTGCGGGGATCATTAAGCACCAAGTTACTGAGGGAAATATCTCATCAGCTCATGAGCTGCACACCGGGGGACGAGCAGCAGGATCTGTGGCCGGCATCACAAAGCAAGTCTCCACTAGGTCTGAACACACAGGATAACACCTCGAGAACAGGTATCACGATGATGGCTACCAACCATCACCGGTAAGAAAGTTTATGCAAAATGTGTAGCTAAATGAATCCTACTTTAAAGAGTCAAGGACTAAAACATTTTTATGCAACAACGATCTGAAGGCTCAGTTCACACCGCAGTAAAAAGTGGCACAAATAGGAGTTTTCACATGTGACCCAGCTCATTGTGAACAGCACAAACTGATCGTTTACATTCAGATGTGTGCCTCTTTCAATGGGCTCCTAAAACAGATACTGGTCAGATTTTTGTGATGAACATTAGTATCGAAATTAATACAACTTTTTACATCTGGTATTTCAACAAAATAGACATTGGTCCAACAGGTCAAGTGGAAACGTTTTCTCAAGATATTTTTCCCAAAGAGCACGTGTAAACTTTAATGTACTCACTGTGAATGCTGTCCAGATTGAAAAGATATTGCAAACAGACATACAAATACATTGGTTACAAATGTTTTGGTCTAGCTTTAGTTTGGTGTGAGTCATAGTTAGAGTCTATGAAACCCACTGATTCTCTGAAGTTAACTGAGCAGTTGAACTGTGCAGCATGGGGATCAAACCCGGTTCCAAAGAGCCTATAATCTCACTTTGTGATACAGCTTCCTGAATTTGTTAACCTGGGTACATTTACAGGAATTCTTCCTCTACACTCTGAAGAAGTTTACCAAAACTTTTGAAATATATATAATTAACACCAGCAACAGTAAACAGAGGACACAGGCTAATGAGTCCCATCATTTCCCCCCACCGCGCAGGGTGTATACTTAACCTGTCCTCTTCCTCAGTACACAAGGTACATAATCCCGACCACAATACTAATTGTTATGATTTCCCCGCTCTGAAAGACTCTGATAGGGAGCTTTGTTTTTTTGTGCAGGATGAGCAATCAAGATAAAGTAGGCCCTTTTTTTATCACGGTCTTACAGCAATAAAAGGGAGGAAAGAGTAGCCCCTAAATACTACCACACCAATCTTTCCATCTGTATTTAAAATGTTCTACATCTTCAGTTCCAATAATATACACTGAGCAGATTCTGAAAGCATACGTACTTATATTCCCTTGGGCAATGAATTGGTTCCTTTGGGCATGTCCTTGCACACTTGGCCTATTAGCAGCCGGGATGCAAACTCATCAGGTATGAAAAGGTTACAAGGATCCAAAGTGCCTCCCCCTCAGGTTCAATGTTAGCAGCACCTTTGACCATTTTGAAAATATATCTGTAAGCCTCTGCAAGGCTTGGTCTTTAGCTTTGACATAGGATCTCAAACTAGGAATATTGAATAATCCCTAGAAAGGAAGGGGCGTACATGACGAACTAAAGAAGGTGGATTCCTATACAGATCAGATACAGTACTTCTTAATTGGGCCGCTGTCAATTTCTTTCTTTATCTTTCTAGACTCACTGGGAAAAAATGTAGGCTCACTGGGAATTGTTCATCTCCTTTTTTAACATGTTTTACAGAAATGTAACTAAATGTTAATGCTCTCACAAACCTCAGCCTTTGAGACGTTATTGATCTAATTGCATTTTCAACATTAAAGTAAATGTCCAACAAAGATTCCTATCCTTTCCTCACAAAGAAAAAAATGACATAGCCTACTATAGCTAAAGGTGAAGTTAAGATGTACAATTTTAAAGAAAGCTGTTTTAAAGCACTCTATATCTAATGATTTCCACATGTTGATGTTTTTTGACTGCAGGCAAAACGCCCTTGAAGGATTGGACGAGACAGCACATTGAAAATGATATTGTTAGGTCAATTCATTTCACGCTAAAACTCAACACTGACTTCAGGAACTCCTGCATAGTCACATGAAGGAGTGATTTGACTCTGCATAATGGACAAGGATAGACCAACAAATCATACAGGAAGATTTGGTAAGATTTAGATTGAGAAGAGTTCAGTTGTGCCCAACCATAAAGACTTTAAATACTAAAATGCTTCCCGAATCTCATTAAAAATCGTATAGATGCAAATCCAGTTTTTTATGACTAAACTTGGAAAACTTGCCGAGCACTGACCTGACGTCCAGCTGAGAGGAAGGCTGTGTGTTTGCATCCACCTCCATGTGATCCATGTGTGTTTCTGGGGAGCTCTCAAGGTGATACTGACACATCTTCTTCTGAAAATAAAAAAGAGATTTGTTATTATGCAAAACTCAAGTACTGAAAATGTGCTGATACTTTTTAATCACTGAATGATAAATTACATTTATAAGGATCAAAACCATGGACTGTCAAAACTGCTTTAGAGGTCACCACATTGTGTTAATCTGGTGGCTTTATAACAGAGAGTAAAACCCTTTGCTCCCACTCATTGTAAAACTTGTTAGATCAGTCTTTGATACATTCAGCTGGGTTGCATCGTGACAAGAAAGCGCTTTATGTGTGCTCGAAAAACCAGATGGATTCAGCCCTCCCTCCTGAGTCCTGTGACTTTAGGGTATATATCGAACATATGAAAGCATCTATCCATAGCCCTTACTGGCGCCCCATTGTTTTGTATGTTGTCTGAAAGGCCAACAGTAATACAATACAATATAAGCCAGATTCATACTTTGTATAAAAACATCTGAATAAATGAAATAAAATGCATCCATGTCATACTTGAAGAGAAATTTGATTTGTAAACTCGGTATGATTAAATTACAAGTCTGGTCTAAAACGCACATTTTTGACGCATGCCCTTAACTTATACTATCGTGTGTAATAGTGCCTGCTGTCTCTCATTCTTGCGTTTATTTTTGATCAATTGACAGACTGGGCAGCGGTCCCAATTGGAGGATCATTCAGCAAATTGTTGCGCACGACTTGGTGACATCAGGGGTGAGGGATCCTGAGAAATGACTCCGATGTGGGTATGACGACAGTGACCGGTAAGTATAAATGCTCAGACGCGAAGTTATCCACTCATACCTCCAGACCCGGCCCAGGTCACCAAACGCTGCGAGAGGCTGAGAGCAACGAGCATCAACGCGAGCTCAACAGAGGAGACACTTTGGACACTTCCCAGGTGAGTTTGGCACACTTTAGAATAAACATACAACGCAAATGTGTCCGTTTTATGTATTAATGGCTCCGTCTTATATATTTGTGTAGGTGCAATTTATTTTTGCGTTGTTAAAAATTCACCTTGGAGGTTTTTAGGCAGCGTTTCCATCATTTTCAATTGTTTCTGTCCGGAAAACAAGTTTAAAATTCGGCTGCAGTTTTCATTTGTTTTTAATGCCGATTCGTTTGTTTTTACTATTGCCTTGATTTTATTAGAACTTTTAACAGTTTGGAAAACAATAGCCAACTTACTGAATTTGCTGTTAACAAACTGAAACCGTTTGCAATGAAACAATGATATCCTCCTCGTCTGAAAGGCGAGTAACAATCGAAAATAAGACTCGCGGTTTCGATATTAAATCTTCTTCAACATACAGTGTAGACATATGTTAAGAGAGTTCTCATTGTTCTCACATTAATTTGATCTCTTGTACCATACCATTTCCCATAGATCATAATCTATTTCTTCATCAGAAGACCACCCACATTACCATGAAGTCGACATGTCTGCTCCTCTTGGCTTCTCTCGTGGTCTGCAACATGACTGTGTGTGGAGGACAGGGCTTCCCCACTGAGGAGGAGACAGACGGCAGGACCATAGACGACATCATACTACAGAGAGCAGAGAGTCTCCTGTTACGGTCCATTCTCAGGAAGATGCAGGATGAATACGGCAGAAACGGTGCGTAACATGGATTTGTGTCGGATCAATGTTCCAGGCATAGATATATTTGGTGTAAAAGAGTGCCAATAAGTATCTAAAATGTTGGATATTCCAATTTTAAAACGTTGTTAAATTCAATGTACCAATACTATGGCATTGAAATCGGGGCTATTTGCCTTATGTTTAAATCGGAAGGCTCTAACTGATGGCAACATCTTATAAGCAGTTTTACGTACTTTTCGTTTTTAATTTAGATTCAATTGTATCATCGTGAAGAAAGAATGTTTGTTAATGTGTTTTAAATTGTTACAATTGGTTAAGAATCTAGTTTCAATGTATTAGTTTGCAAGGAATGTGGACCAAGGCTAGACTCATTGGTGCGTAATTTACGCACGGTCTATAAAAGCTGGAGAAACACTTTTTAGCAGTTAGAGAAACTTAAATTAGACTTTGATCTCCTTTAATTAATCTAAATGTTTTCCCTTTTCCAGAAGGGTCTTCTTCTCAGACAGAATGGATGACAAAACGACAACATCCCGGTAAGAGGTACATCGAGGATTTGGAGAAGCGGCAGCATCCGGGGAGGAGAGAAGAAGATGAGGATGAACAGTACGTGGATGTTCAAAAGAGACAGCATCCGGGCAAACGCGAAGATGAAATGCACTCTTTCATGGAGCTCCAGAAAAGGCAGCACCCGGGGAAGCGCGTCACGATGGAACACGTTTCTGAAAACCCCATTGTGCTCCTGAGTGAACTTTCAAAACGGCAACACCCGGGGAAGCGCTACCTGGTACTGCACAGCAAACGCCAGCACCCAGGTAAGCGCAACTTCGAGGATGAGGAGGACGACGGGGACTGGGACGCGGATTCAGATGGTTACGAAGAGTTCGCCGAGTTAGAAAAGCGTCAGCACCCAGGGAAACGGTTTTTGGATAACTCCAGTCCGGATTTAGGCACGAACAGTCCCTGTGATGTATTGGACCCTACGAGCTGCAGCAAGACCAATCTGCTGCTCGACCTTTTAGACAACATCAACAAGAGCCATGTCGAGGAGAAGAGACAACACCCGGGCAAAAGGTTTGCACCCGAGGAGGATTTAGTGGAAGCAGAGTAGAGTAGGTTAAACGGTCTGGTGCCCGTGCACTGTTTTATTGTAAACAAATAAATGTGTAAATGAAGTGACCATAAATAATTATGAAAAATGAAAAAATATTTTGTGCTACCGTTTTTCTTTGAGCGACAGCATAATGTATCATCGTTGCAAAACATCTCTGCTGTTTTTTTTGGGATGGCGAAATTGTCTTTATATATCTAAATATCGCTGATTATGGTTTTCATTAGAGTACGTGTCATATCTTGAACTTTATTAAGGAATTATTATTATTAGAAATATTAACTCTTTATTTTATTAATTAGTCAATTATGGTAACAGAAGAATGACACCTTCAGTCTCCTGGCTTTGGCGATGTTGCCTCTGTGAGGAAACACACGCTTGTCAGTGCATCCTGAAATATGATCTATGGAAGTGTGTTTACGACTTTGCAGAGGACATCCCTTGATTGGTTGATTTATGTTTATTTATTTTATACTTCTGTATAATATAATGAATACCACCGCAACTATAAAGTTTCACTGATTATTTTTCTACATATAAATTGCATGAATTAATTTTATTTAACCTATTGTTGTAAATTCAAAGTTATACCTTTGCCTTGAAGTCAAACCACCAATGTTTTTGTTGGACAATAAAACGCATTGGTAAAAATGTATGGCTGAAGTTGCAGTAATTCCTGCCTCAAGTGCACTATCAAAGTATTTTTAAATGTTTCAACCCAACAGGTCTAAGTGTGTCCAACAAGGCAAACACTGTCCCTTAGCTTGATCTAATGGTTCATGCAATTCAACTGCACACACACTGTGGCAGATATCCTCTTCTCACTTTAATTGGGCTCATTCCATCACAGCAGCTGCCTACACAGGCCTGATCAATATGCAAATTGTTTCCTCAATTACATTCATGGACACTTTATGGGAGAGGAGCTCCACTAAATGGCACACACAACATTCAAATCCAGCAGTAACGTTTCAGTGGAATGATAAACCATTAAAAGATGCACACAAATAATTTCAGCATAATAAACTCAGGAGGGAGAGCTGAATCCATCTGGTTCTTTTGAGCACACATAAAGCACTTTCTTTTTACGATTCAATGCAGCTGAATGTATCACAGGCAGATCTAGAAGTTTTACAATGAGTGGGAGCAAAGGGTTTTGACTCTGTTATAAAGCAACCAGATAAACACAATGTGGTGACCTCTAAAGCTTTTATGGTTGGGCACCACTAACCACTATTCAATCAAACCCTCACCAAATCGTACTATATGAAACTGTCTTTTATATATATAAGTAATAATTTTTTCGTCAACATGAAATGCCTCAAGGACAGGATGCAATGGGCAAATAATACTAACATATTATTCAGTTAGGTCCTTTGTGGCTTTGGCATTTATTTTATGTTAAGGTCATATGTAAACTCTCTAAAAGGTTAATATCTTATCTGTGAATGTGGAAGTGATATACACACACACACACTTTTATTACTCGGTCTTTAGTTTAGCGTTTTTGTTTACAATTTGGTTTTTTCGAGCCTTAAAAAATAGGCAAAGTCCATTTGTGACAGCTCATCACAGGTTATTTTTAATGTAGATGTGATATTTCCTTTTAAATTGGGGTCATATAAGTTTGAAGAAGTAATTTGAAGTTGCGTAGTCATGAAGGTAAAATTACCCAGGACTTTACAATACAAAATCAAAAATCAGGATAACATCTTAAACATTATTTTACGTAGGCCTAACAGAAATACTTTTTCCTTATACATTCAATCATCATTAGATTTTTGTTCCTGATCCCAAAGATTGAGAACGGCTGAATCAGTCCAACCAATTATACTAAAGCCTATTTGACTAATTAGAGGCCTCAGAGAATAATTGAGCTTTGACTTCATGAACATGGCATTTTGTTTTATCGCAAATTGAGCCGAAGGCTAAAACAATACAAAGTTTATAAAACTATAAATTGAAGGTGAATTAGCTAGTTTAAGGTCCAAATGTTGCACAATGCCGCAGGGTAGGTTATAATGCAAGATTCCATATAAATGCTTGTCACTTCAGTTAATTTTAATGCAAATTCCTGAACAACTTATCAATTAATAAAATCCAACTCAACTGACACAGTTTCCTTGCGACCCATTGCACACCAACATAATGAACTCAAAGGTAGGGTAGGTAATTCACTTCAGAAACACTTTTTGATATATGCCATGGAAAGTTATATGAGGCCCTCTGTGTCGCGAGCGTCGACGGGGGAGGTCCCCTCCGCGAGGTGAGGCCCCACGCAGTCTGCGTGATCTGCGTGTAGGGAGGGGCGGCCCTGCACATATTTCATCTGTGGAATCCGTGGCGCTGTAAAAAGCATGTCCAATTATCTGCCCCGGCCCGCGGCAGATAATTGGATTGCCTACCTGCCTGTCAGCCTTCCATCTCGTGCACAAACTTATCTCGTGCCCTCATTGGTCATGTGTGTGTTGGCATGGCCGTATCTACCATTGAGGTCACCGAGGTCCGGACCTCGGTAATAGTTTTCGAGCTGTGTATACAAAACTTGTGAAATAATTGCACTAAATGGGGTTCTTTGTAGTACTTCCATTTACTGCCGATGGGGGCGCTGCATAACTGCGTAGCCTCGATTAAAGCAAACAGAAGAAGACGACATGTATCAACAACAAACCACCGCAGGCGAGCAGCCCGGACTTGTACCAGAGCAGCGACGGAGTTTTGAAGTATCTAGAGATCTGAGTCCAGTGGGCTGCTTGTGTTTCTGTTCATCAGGACATCATATGACCAGCAGATCCTGTGTGAACGCTCTACGTTAGTCAGTGGACGTCCGACAACATGCACACTGTTATTAAAAAGTACAATATATATAAAAGGCATTGTACAGTATGAAATATTATCGGATATAACATTTATTATAACTTGAAATGGAGCCTATAAGTACAGTTGGTGTAATACAGCAATAACACATACAATGTAATGCAGTATAAAAGTGTTCAATTAAATTCAAGCTTTAAATGTCTGGGTGTAAACAGGAGCAGGGGAAGCGACCAAGTGACAGTGACAGAAAATAACAATTTATTTATATATTGAACATCACTGTTCAAACTGCCTTTGAAAATGAATGTCACACTGAATGACCTGGGGCCTGATGCATGATGCTGCTTATGTATCCCGACCCCCAACAACACACACACATTCATGACCCAACAATAGACTGAGGCACTGGACTGTTTTTCTAATTGGTGTGTATTGATGAGACTGCCGCTGGTGTTGCCAAAGATATAAGTCATTAATGTGACCCCCTGCCTGACAGTGTAAGACACACTGAAAGAAAGATGCAAAAACCTAGACACCGTGACAGGTTCAAGTTGCCATGGGAACTGCTAAAAAGATTTAAAAAAAAAGATATGATGTGGGTAATAGCAAGTTCAAAGTAAAATCAATAAATTGATATGCTTTTAGGTGCAATCCCACTCTCTTTATATATTTTGTCCCCCGTCCATCAGCACCCTCCTCCCACTGTGTTACCTTGCTCCAAATCTCCTTCATACACACATTTGAAAACTAACCTTATTAATCAAAACAATTTTACAAGGAGGAATAGTCTAATGTCTCTTTTTTATTAGAAACTCAAGTGTTATGCACAATCAAACAGCAACACAGTGAACCAACATCACATTTATGATAATAAAGAAACAATTTTCTGTTGACAAAAAAATCAGTTGTAGCCATCTTGAATAATAATGTAGTAATTTATCAGTGAGAAATGTGTTCAATGGTGCAACTTTTTTACAAAGACATAGACAGATAAATTCAAATGGAATTAGTTGAGTCAAAAGTATTAGTGCTCTACGGAGTCCCTAAAGATTCATGAAAAAAAAAATCATTGCAGACTGTTATGTTTATGTAGGGAAAAGGCAGTGCATACATTATTTGAGATATATTTTGAACTCAGACTTCATTTTAAGGACATTTCAGCCAGGGGTGTAGAGCTATTTGTTTAAGCACCGGATTGGCAAAACAGGAGAGTCTGTAAACCAGTCTGCCTTGATCTATATCCGTGACTCTCACAGTATTTGCTGCCCACAGCTGTTTTATAGAAGGAAAACCTCATTCACTTCTATACATACAGTATATGGAAAGCCAAGTGAGCCACTATTCAGCCATTTATTTTGCCTGTTTTTTTGTGTAAAAACGCGCGAATATACGTGCAAATAGTGCCACACTTGGCTTTCCATACAGCTCTTTGGGCTGGTGCTGCACTAGAAAGTCTGTTGTGCGAATGAGATACTTTCTCTCTCTTTTTTTTTTTCGATGAACCTTTAGGGCAGGGGTATTCAGCTAAAATTCAACGAGGTCCAGTTAGAGAAAATCTCCCCATGCAAAGGTCCGGAACATCAAAATGTCTAAGTTGCTTTATGAATTACTGTGATATATATTGAAATAGCTTGTAGCTTTATCAANGTGTGCCTTGGCAGTCTCAGTGTGATATAATGAGCATATACCACGGCCTGTCGTGAGCTTTGCTTAAATATATAACAATAGTCTTAATTTACAATAGGCATAATTGTAAAACAACATAGGCCTACATCTATTGCAGTTATGATGTCATAATAACATACAATTGTATAAAACACAATTTGCTTACATCTTTGTTCTCTTTTGATAATCAAACGAAACGGATTTAAAGGACAAAAAGAATGCAAACAAACAAGTGAAATGAACTGAATTGCTTTTGATTCACTGGCAGGAGCGACAAGTGAGGAGGAGCAAAAAGTGAACAATGACGGAGAGATTGAACAAAGAGAAAGAGTAGAGGACAGAGAGAGTAATGAACAGGAAGAAGACAGAGAGACTCAATAAGATGGAAGAGAGGGTGCAGGTTATGGAAAGGAGAGAGACATGGAAAATGAATGTTGACAATGTGTTGTGATCATTTTAGCCTCTTCTGCATGTCCTGATCATTAATAGTAACAATCAACTGATTCTTATGCATTACACTTTCAAAAATAATTGATGCTGCAGCCCACCGACATGGTTTGAAATCAATATATTATCCAATTTGTGACCCCCCACAGGACTTAAAAAGCACCTAACTAGATCATGAAAATCCCAAAAACCTCGGGGGGTGTCCCCCGAACCACCCAAACATATTTGGACCTGGTATTTAGGAAATCCTGGATACGGTCCTGTGTGTTGGAGTAGGGGCTCTGTAAGGAAGTCTGAAGGAAGGGGCAGATTTTGTTTTGTTTTTGCAAGCAATGTAAATAAGAAGGCAATTATTGAAATGATTGAGTTTTTTTGCTGACATGTGACTTATTATGTGTTGTTATATAATAATGTGTTATAAATTCGCACATATTCGCATTGATCTAGTAATTAACTACAATTTATATGTAGCTCTATCAGAATCAGAATACCTGACTTTTTAATTGATAAAGCAAAAGTTAAGATGGAGACAAAAAATAAAACACTATGAGATAAAATAAAAGTGCATGCACAAAAAATATAAAGAAATAGAATAGAAACCATTTAAAAGTTATTCAAAGTAAACCAACCATAGATTATCCCTAGAGTAGCTTTAGTGTTAATTCTTCCAGTGTGAAGTTATTGGAAGCTTGCAAATCCATACTTTTTCAAGTAACTTCCCCAACACTTCTCTAAAATTATTCTGAAGACTGTCCTTAAATCTGCATTATGTAAATACATTGTTTTGTGTCTATTGTCAAGTTTGTCCCTCTTCGCTTGCCTTACCCGCTGAACGCTAATCACATGACCAGGCAGGGCTGCTGCTGCTGCAGCTGGTGTTGTCGAGCTGTCACAGAGAAACTGTCAAACACACACTTATTGGATTAATTTGTAAGTATAACTGATCCACCGTGTTACAAATATTCTTCGATTATTTGTTTTTGCTAAGTTGTAAGTTATTTATGTCCGTGTTATGAACAATGAGATCAAATAAATAATGGCTAAAGAAAGCGAGAGCTGCTGTTAGCATCTTGTAGCTAACGTTACAATCAGTGGTCAGTATGGTGTTACAAATATATTAAACTATGGGCTACACCTTAAGCCTTTATACAGTTAATATGTGCATTTCACATGCTGGATAAAATAGTGCTCGCTTACTGTCAGAAAAGCAAATAACGTGACTTATTGTCTAAGTTATCTAGGTTAGTCTTTCAATGGGTGGGTCAGGTGTTTAAACTGGCTAATATTACACGTTCATAATAAAAGATAAAGCGTTAACATTGCATTTAAGTCAAATATCTGTAACGTTAAGTCATTGTAATGGTTGTAAAATGTGTGATGTTTTAGATTTGTGCAACTTATAAAACTGTCAGCAGTAACGTTAGCTTGTTAGCATAGCTTTCTGTAGACGACCAGAGCGGGCTGAACATGTAAACGTCTGTTACTCATGAGAACTATATTACATGATAACTAACCTCCATTTCTACAGGTATAACAACCGCAATTTGATTGCATTTTTAAAAGAGTACGACGTAATACAGATCTGCTTCAAATACCCTGTAATAAAGTGTGTCTTCTAGATATGGCTGTTTATTGACACACTTGCATCTCATGTTTCATCACGTAAGTCACATTATAAAGTTTGCATAAATGACCAGGTTAGTGGTTGAAATGTACATGTTAACCATAATACATATTTTCAAATCTGTGTTAGATTTTTTGGGCATGTTTAGTAAATACTTTGATCCCACCAAGTATCTGGAATATCATATTTGGATTTTGTTAAATATTAATAGCCTCAATCTGATCTGCCCCATTCTCAGTGTCCCAAGATTTTCTCTGGCGTGATGGAGTCATTATGGGGTGGATTGCACACCCCGTGAAATGTGGACCAAAGCAAGAATCTCCCAACCTGCATCTCTTTTCCCAAAACACATCCTGCCGCTGTCATGGCCTCCAGTTATCCACCCCCCTTTGAAGGAACAGGTGAAGTGAAGGAGGGCTTTCTCTGCCCACTTTGCCTGAAGGACCTTCAGTCATTCTACCAACTCCAAGCCCACTTTGAAGAGGAGCACTCTGGGGATGACCGCGATGTGAGGGGACAGATCAAAAGTGAGTCCCATGGATTGTTATTGAAGATTCTGCTCACTGCCACGAAGCCATTTGAGTCTTATCAAGTTGTGCAAAACAGGGTCTTAAGAAACAGTCAAATACTTAGTGCTGAATAGTTAAGCGAAAAGACAGTACTGGCTTCTTAAAAAGCAGCATAAGGAGTATGGTTTGAATTTGATAAAAGGCACTGCAGTGTTTGACTGGGGGAGATTGTTGCCAGGATGAATTGGCAACATATTCTGCTGCAGGGAGGGACAGTAGATTAAAGCGGAAAAATAGTGAAATCTAGAGAGGAAGAATCTCAGTTGGAAACAGAGGCATGCTCAGAGTTTAGTTCTCTGATTTATAGCAGCCATTTGGATGAAGTTAAAACCAATATATATGGATATTTTGTGTAACAGTGGAATTATTTTTATTTGTGCACAGGTTTGGTTCAGAAGGCAAAAAAGGCCAAAGACAAGCTGTTGAAACGAGATGGAGATGACAGAGCGGATACAGGCAGTTATGAGTCATTCTACTATGGAGGAGTGGACCCCTACATGTGGGAGCCTCAGGAACTGGGTGAGAATAGAAAACTGGGCGAAAGAAAATCCCCACTCCTTTTTAAATGTTCCTTTTTTTCATACCATTTGAAAATAAAAAAAGAATGATTAATAAACACCTGAAAGCTGCAACCACTTGCTGAACTCTTACGGTTTCCTTTCTCTTTGTTTTGTAGGAGCGACCAGAAGTCACATTGACTTCTTTAAAAAACACCGGGCAGCCAGGATAGATCACTATGTCATTGAGGTCAACAAGCTCATCATTAGACTGGAAAAGGTATGTTTACAAAGCATCGGAACTCATTCACACCATAAATATTTTCTCAATATATATATTACACTCAAGGTAGGGCTGCTCGATTATGGCAAAAATCATGATCTCGATTATTTGGATCAATAATAGATATCACAATTATTAAAAACGATTATCCATTTATTTTGAAAACATCAATTTATTGGAGAAAAACATTTGAACAGTATGTTTTTAACAGTTGATTACCCTGAACTTTAAGTGTAATTAAACTGAAAAACCAATAAAAACTTTTTTTAATAATAATAAAAAAATAATCGTTTTATTTCGATTACGTTGTTTTCGTAATCGTTGCAAGCCATAATCGTAATTGCGATTTAAAATACGATGAATTGAGCTGCTCTAACTCAAGGTGTTACTGTGAAAACTAATTTGCAATAAATAAATATATTGTTGTTTCAGTTGACATCGTTTGACAGGATGAACTCTGATGTCGCCAAAATCAGAGGTTTGTTCACATGTTTCTATCACAACTATGAATCCTATGAGTTTGTTGATATAAATGATTTAATATTATAAATGATTAAGTGTTCATCCTGCTTTACAGCTATTGAGAAGTCAGTGGTGTCATGGGTGAATGACTCGGATGTCCCGTTCTGTCCTGACTGTGGAAACAAGTTCAACATCCGGAACAGGCGGCACCACTGCCGTCTCTGTGGGTCCATCATGTGCAGGAAGTGCATGGACTTCATCCTTTTACCTATGGCTCGTACGTATGAGCAAATCTCTGCAAAAAAAATCAATATTAAAGTAAGGTTACACCATGTGTGTCTCCGTGCTGTGACAAGTTCGCCTTTCATCTGTGCACAGAAAAGCTGATCAGCGGGACTCGAGTTAACCTCGGTGTACTTGGAAGCCCCGTTCATTCCCATTCTCCCCAAGTAGGGGGGGGGAACAGTGGGATGGGCTCCAGGAGAGGCAGCATCAGCAGCCTGAGCAGCGTCACCTCCATGCTGGAGGAGAAGGACGACGAGAAGATCCGCTGCTGTCACCACTGCATGGACACGCTGCTGAAGAGACAGCAGAAGCTGGAAGAGAGGGACCACATGCCGGATGTTGTGAAACTTTATGAGGTTTGGCACATCAAACAATATTAAAGTTCAAATAAGAACAAACTCTAAATATGTCTATTTTTCTGTCCCCACAAGTCTGTTCACTTTTCACGCCGTCTTGAGTTTACACTGCTGTATCCTTCCCGTCATTCAGTGTTTGGCTTTTGGGGTTTCCTGTTGTTCACTTGCTCTCTACTTGTCTTCCTGTCAGAGGCTGAGGATGTGCATGGAGAAAGTGGATGAAAAGGCTCCAGAATACATAAGAATGGCAGAGTCGCTCAAGTAAGCTCCAGTTAAAAAGTCATTTAGTTAGCAGGTGAGAAATAATCTTTGATACTGGAGACTTCTTGCTTACTGTCATGGCTGTTTGCTTTCACAGTGCCGGAGAAACTACATATAATCTTGACACGGCTGGTGGACTGAGACTGGAAGTGCAGAAATACTACGAACTAATCGATGCCCTAAGGTAGCTGTCAATCTATCGAATAACAAAACTGAACAAAAGTCTTCTTCATTCGTATTGTTAAATATGGAGTTCTTTGTTTTCTTCTCAGTAAGAAGATTTTAACACTAGGAGCAAAAGATGATCCACCACCGCGTCCAAAGTCCCTCCAGCTGCAGAAGATGATCCGATACACAGCAACACTATTTGTTCAGGTAATATTCAGGCTCCATCCCTAAGTTGGGTTGTACTGAGGTTTCCCATTAATCACTCACTACATGAATACAGTACTCCTGCTACATATACGTCTTTCCAATTTGACCTCTCCTTTCCCTAAATTCTGCCCTTCTTCTTGTCCTCCTTGTTTTAGGAGAAGCTGTTAGGTCTCATGTCTTTACCCACTAAGGCAAAATATGAAGAGCTGAAAGAAAAGAGGAAACAGGAGCAAGAGAAGAGACTCCAACAAGAGAGACTGGTGAGACTGTGTTCTCCTCCCACTCATTCTTCATCTTCCTTCATAACAAATGTTTAACCCTATATGTCCCCGCTCAACAGGTCAGCCAGGAGACCCTGAAGAAGAGGCAGGAGTCTGAGAAGAACCGTCCAACCCCCAGTACAAACGGAGAGCAGCCGCAAGCCCCCAGAGCTCCACGCATGACCAAAGCTGGCGGCTGGTTGCCCTCCGCAGACTCCGTCCATACCCGCAGTGAGCTGGAGGACCCCCTGCTGCAGCAGATTGAAAACATACGGTCGTTCATTCGCCAGGCGCGGGAGGCCAACAGAACAGACGAGGTGGCCATGTTGGAGGAGAACCTGCGTCAGCTACAGGACGAATACGACCAGCAGCAGACCAGCCTGGCCATCGCACTCTCCCAGAAGATGGCCGAGGAGGAGAGCTTGCAGCAGGGGGAGCTGGACCGCCTGGAAGCGTGGGAAAGGGACGAGAGGGAGCACTGGGGCCCCAAGGTGGGCCCCACCCAGCCCTCCTTCACTTGGGAGAGGTCTCTGGATATCAGTACGCCACCGGGCTTCCAAGGAAACCCTGAGACAGAGGAGCTGACTCCCAAAGCTGAGAGTCCGTCCTCTGTCAGAGCGTTCCCTGCTCTCACGAGCCAGGAGGAGTCACCCCCCCGGTTGAGAAGCTTAGGGGGGCATGTGACCCCCCCGGGTGGTGAAGGACAGAACAACACCCCCCTCAACCCTTTCGATGAAGAGTCTACCCCCACTGAGGAGGATCCATCCAACCCCTTCTTCGAGGAAATAAAGAGAGAACACAAAGAGGTGAGCAACGGGAAGAAAGAATACAACCCGTTCGATGAAGATGAAGAGGTGGAGGAAGACCAACAGGCCGAGTCGGCACCAGGCAACCCCTTTGAAGAGGACGGCACTACAGACACAGGCAACCCTTTCCTGGAGGCGTCCGGGAGCTCTCCAGAGGTCTCCACCAACCCCACCAACCCCTTCGAAGGGGACGATGAAGAGGCTTTGCCCGACGTGGACATGATAGAGGAAGAGTTGCTCCTGCAGCAGATTGACAACATCAGGGCCTACATTTTTGACGCCAAGCTCAGCGGGCGTCTCGATGAAGTGGAGCTCCTGTCAGAGAACCTCAGAGAGCTACAGCACACCCTTACAGAACAAAAAAAAAAGAAGCACTGATACCTTGAACAAAAAAAAAAACAAGATTACCCACCTGCTACTTACCAAGTCCTGCAAGGCTAGCTCACTTTACATGATGACTAATGAGCCCACTGATTTGAGTCTGGGTGAGGTCTGCTGAACCACAAAAAGATGAGTCACTAAATGAAATGTGTACTAGAGCGTGGTAGTCTGGAGTGATTTCCTTAATTTCCAACATCTTTCTTAACCACTTATCCTGTACAGGGTCACAGGGGGCTGGAGCCTATCCCAGCATGCACCGTTTGTAAGCACTGCAACTAAACATCTATTTGTACAGGCATGTTCTGAAGATATTAACCCTGTAGTTTCAGGGACAACATGAACAATGGAAGACAGAAGAATGCTACTTTAAACATTTGTTTAATCGGACAGTCAAGACGGCTGAAGCTATGAACAAAGTCTAAATGTAATTTCGGCCAAGGGTGAACAAACGGAAATGATTAATGCATGTTTCAACATCTTTTGTGGAACGACTGTCTTTCCTTTTTTTGTGAAAGTACTTCCTGTATTCCAGTGAAACAGACTTCGATGTGTAAAATCAGTTGCCCTTTAATTTCATAAGTGCCATCTTGGTGTACCCGCACATGAGCTTATTTGTGGTAATTGAAGTTCCTGCTGTTTTTTTTTAACCAAAGCACCAAACCATGCTTTACTGTTCCAGCTGGTCCATGAGCAACATTATAACTATCACCGAACAACCATCTGATAATAATTAAACATGAAATTAGCCTTATATGACAGCAGTCGGGCAGCCCAAAGTGATGATTAAATACGATGTTATATATTAAAATGTAATCCCAGGCTTAAATGAACTGTTCAGTCACAATTGTTGGTGCAGAGCCACTTTATAACGGAAACTAAAGTCTAATTTCAAGGCCATTATTGCTGATCCTGTTATGTAAATGTCACACTGACTATGATTACATTAACAGAGGTTAAAGCTTTTAATCATCATACTTTAAATAACAGCCACGTGTGCATCTGCAACACATTGTCCAAGCGTTGAGTGTGTATTTGTTATAACAGCTATTCATTTCTGTGTCAGTGAAAGTAGTTTTCTCTGTAAATCCTTAATGAACATGTTGACCTGTTTCTGTTCGCATGGACGTAAGTGTTGATCTTGTGCATCTAGTCTGTCATGTTGGCCTTGCTATGAAAGGGTAATGTTGTTTTAAGCATCTCAAACACCACATTGAGCCAAGTAAACGGAGCAATTACAATGTTTTACTGTTCGACCATTAAAATGTTAATGCTAACAGTTCCACTTCTGATCCAAATGAGCAGGGCGTATGTCTGTGTAGGTGCAGTTTGATGCTGGTCTTTCTAAAAGAGCAAGTGGCCCAGTTTCTCGTATTGCAATATTCATTTTTTGTACACATTCTGATCAAATCTCAAAACACATAGCTCCTGTAATGTGCTGTTGGCCGAGGTCTGTATGTGAAGCATGTTATCTGTGTGGTAGTCATCTAACAAGTCCATTAAGAGTTCATCCAAACGGCACTCACCATCAACTGAACACTATCTGCCGAAGCACATCATAGGCAACTAATTAAGCACCAGAATTCACTGGAATCATAGTTTACAGATAGGAATCAGCATTAAGACTGACTTAATGCCCAACAGCAACATTAGACAGTTTTTGTTTGTCAGATAAATGTACACTACATGCCAGCAAGTATTATCACTCTGTGCTGCTACATCCTAACATTTATGTGTCTTTCCTGTCAGTCAGAATGTCCACGTTTATCGTCATTAGACTTCCGTTTTTTGTGTCGTCTGCTAAACTCACTTTGCTTATCTGTGCTGTCAGATGTTAAGTAAAACATGTGACACGGTAAATGTTTTGTGACAGTGTGAATAACTCCAGGAGCTTCATGGTGAATAAGCAGTTTAGCTAATTTGGTAACAGATTTTAAATCACACAGACATCAATTTATTACAATTCCATCTCAGCACCAATAAAAACGTTGTCTCTGTAAAATGTTCCTCGTTCTTGTCATAAATCTGGTAGAAGTTTTGCTTCTCAATTTAATCCTGTCTCACGTGAAAACGCTGTGGTTACGCTCGCTCAGGACTTAGATTCCTAAGGTTCAAACAGAGCGACAACTACAGCCACGTAAGCAAATCATTTTTATTTTAATGTTTACATTGCAGTGTTGACACTGGGCTGGATGTAAATTGCATCCGGATGTGTTGATTTGTCAATCCAGACACCTCACGTATAAACGGATATCAAGTGACCCAAACCTCGACCAGTTTTCATCGTGTGTTTGAAGGTTCCTGCTGCTCATGGTGGACTCAAGAGTCTCAGTCCAGTAACGTTCTCACAATGCACAGCATAGTGGGACCCCTTTAATTACTCATATTTACAGCAAAGTATGCAATGCAGGAGTCCTCTTGTGTATTCGTACAAAATCATAAACAACACCAAACCATAAAATTGTCCATTTACAGTACTCGGCTCTCTTCAGCTGCTCACTCCTGAGCTGCTGCCATCTTGGTGCGGTATTTGCCCGTCATCTCTTTTGGCAGAGCGGTGGTCCCGGGACACGGCACCTGGCCGTCCACCTCGCAGATACACTCCCGCAGGCAGTACTTCCTGGGACCAAAGTTTGCCGGGTTGGATTCCTGCATCTTGGCCTGAGCCTCAGCTTGTAACACTTCTCTGTAAACAGAAAGGGGGGGTAAATCAATATGTTTAAAGAATATCTGGCAACCGAAGTAATAGGCCGTTTCCACAATACAATTTACAAATTAGTACAATTGAGATGCCATTTTAGGAAAAGCACAGAGGTAAATGAAAATAGTGGTGGCCTGATTTGATTTAGCTGTTTTGTGCATAACTGCCATGACACTCAAATTAAACTGAGCCATTATTTATCGGTAACATTAATACTTTCCTTCTTAAACAACTCAAAATATCTGTACATTCATAGTTATTTACAGGCAGTGATCTTATATCATCCATTAGTATAACAAATAAACAGAGGTTTAAACCAGTTCTTAAAAATAAAAAAATCACGAGATAACTTCTGTTATGATTTGGTATTATATAAATACATTACAGTTGATGTGTTTTGTTGTGATGAGTCCTACATGATGAACTATAGTTAAATGATCCAGTTTCATCCTTTATTTTATAATGTCTGATGAACGTATCTAAATATTTGATTTATATATCCCCAATAACTATAATCACAAGCTCTTATAATGCAGGTTTAGTGAAACACAGCACACACTTAAACAAAGACTCTTTACTCACTCTGTTTTGCCCAAAATCTTCCTCACATGGTCGGAAATATGTTTGTGGTCCTTTCCTTCAACGTCCACCAGCACTTGCTCTCCATCGTCTGCAGAAGAGAGAAAGGACATTAGCCCAAGCTTGGCAGGATACCTAATAGTAATGATACTGATATTATTAAGACTATTACAGGTCAAACAGTGCAAGGCTACACACCCAGGTAGAACTTCAAGAACGGCGACGGGGTCATATTTTTGAACATCATGACTTGCACCCACTGGTTTTTATACTGAATCTGAGGAATGTTGAAGAACACAAATTTTCTGCAAAAGAGGGAGAAAGTTCACATTTTAAGAAACGCATAACTGGACAGGCAGCATGACTTTCTAAATACAGTTTAGAGAAACAACTTCAACACAAGAGAAAAGGTCTTCTTTTCAGGCAGGTGAAAGGAAAACAATAAAAGCACAGTCAAATATCCAAAGTTATAAAAACGGGTTGTTAAAATAAATACCAAATCTATTAGTGAGGCTAACTTAAGCGAGTTATTCTGTCTAATTGAACAAAAATAAAACATTAATCACAATCAAATTCATTTGTCTACTGTAAAAACTTTAATGCTGCTACTTATTTAAACATGCAGGCACTATATTCACGTCTGAGGTTTTTTATGCCTGGTTTTGATTCATTTGAATCATGTAATACTACAGTATGTTGTTTTGTTTTACTGCAAGACACTAGAAGTTACCTTGATAAATAGGTAGAACATTTTATGTGATGATAAAATCCACTAAACCAATTTTAGCTGACACTTCCTGAGATGTTATGGACCAACAATTGTCTAATCAAGACAAATAATGAGCGTACAATTATAGATACTGGAATGTATCATTATGCACCGCCCCATCGTCACACAAATGATATTTAGGGTTGAGTGCATACCACTTTAATAACACACGCTTTTTATAAAATATCATTATGAGGAGCAGTCTGCTTTTAGCTCACAGGACGAGACATATCTGCAGTGTTGTTTGTTTTACAGTGAAGTGGTCTGATGTCTCTGACCTTGCTCCCTCGCTCAGCTCTCCATGTGTGTTGTAGTTCACCGTCATGATCTTCACTCTGTTTTTAAACACGATGTCTCCCTTCTGCAGATACTCCAGAGTCCTCCTGATCGGAAACCGTCCTTTCATAGGCATTTTAAACTCTTTTTTGTCCACAAAATATCATATAAAGCAGCCTATGCCTGAGTCGCACAAGCAAAGCACACTGACAGGCGCCTTTTGATGACGTTTTGAGTCGTTGTTACGTGTTTTTTTTTTATGGAGAAGAAAAACGTCGGTAGTAGGCTCTTTAGAAAACGATGCTCATAATAAATACGGAATTATATATTAAAAATAAAATACAAGTAGATGAAATGTAGATCATAAGAAAACAAGTTTACATTCAGGCTTTATCATTTTGTACAAGCCTACACTTGGTAGTAGTAGTCTTTAATAATATATTTCAGAGAATACGAATAATAGAAATTCATTGCAAAAACCATTAAAATGGGAATGACTTGCCACTCAAAAACATGTTTATCGGTGACTGTAATGTCACAATGTTTAAACCCCACAGTCAGATAAATATTAAATGAATGATATAGCTTTACTATTTTTTTCAGAGAGCAGCAGAATATGAGATCAACATCCATTATGCGTTTACTGACAGGTTTCTCTAAATGATAGTTTGAGTTGTGTTTTTGTGTTGTCCTTGACCAAGCTTTAGTTACAGTACATGAGAGAAAACTCTGTAATATCCAGGTGTTGGCAAGCGTCATACTTAAGTTTTCAGCAATAATAGACTCAGTCATGTCATATTTCATAATGAATTGTTTATTTCTTTTTATAGCATGTGGCTTCAGAGAAGCAAGCCTCAGAGACTGGAATGCTGATACAGGAGCTCAGTCGATTATGCATGTTTTACATCTTCATTGGTGTGAGGTAGAAATGTGGGGTTGTGACAAACTTGAGCAAAAATATTTATGTGGTTTCTAAATCTTAATGTTTGAAGAAATGCATTTCACATAAGCATAAAAAACCAAGAAAATTAACATGGTATAAAATGTTAACAAAGGATACTCAAGCCACAAAGCTCAAGAATAGAAATCTGATGTGATATCCTGTAATGTAAGAGCTGCTTATGGTTAATATTTTAAATATTTTAAAGCCACAACATTTAAATACACATTTTTCATAAAGCATTTAATAAAATGCACTTAAGCAACTTCTTCATGCACTGCAATGCACTATAAAATGTATAACAATGCTCCTTATGAGGGCAGACAGCGACAAGATTATAAAATCTGGCTTACAAACAACATGCACTCATTTTAATGAAACTACATGTACAAAGGTCATCTCACAACAGTGCCTTTACAAACAGTTTGTATGGGTTTTAAACCCAAAATATTACAATTGACATTTACTTTTCAAGACATAATCCTTTTTGACCTCTTTACATTCCTGTTATCATTCATGTTGCTGTGGATTCTGAACCATTGAGGATTGGGTTAGTCAATGCAACTCTTTGTCTTTAAAGAAAATGCAGGTCTTTAAAATAAAAAAACGTACTCGAAAATGGCTTCCCAAAAAATCTTGGTTTTTTTTCAAATCAGGGAAACCTGCCCAAAAGTGCTTTAAGTACACTTAGTATGCAACAAGCACATTTGTTTACAACAAAATAAAGTTTTTAGAAAACATATAAAACACAAAGGTTTAGTCAACATGAAAACAGTGGAACGCCACACAAGCTGATTGATGTGCACAAAGCAAAGAACAAATGCAAACACAAGTACAAAAACAGTAGCATTGCTACACATAAGTAACATTTCTGAACTCAAAAATATGTAACATAATATAATTCCTTAAAAGAAATAACTGCCAATGATAAATACACATACAAGCAGATTGAGAAGAAGTGCCATGACACTGATGGGACAGAAATACCATGTTATAGATTGTCGTAAAGGGAAAGTGATCAGGTGATTGCACTGGTCATTAGCAACATATTCATGATAAGACATACATTAGTGTACATCTCTGATAAGTCTTTTAGAATAAAACAAGAAAAGGTTCGATGAAACTTGCTAATTTGGCCAATCTGAAGGTGCATTTAAGTTAAAAGTAAAATAAAATAAACCAGACATTGGTCATGTTGTAATGCACTGAATGGTCGGTAAATGCTGTTGACGCCAGTTCATATAAATACAGAACTTTGAGTATGAATTAATTGAGTCTTGAGTTAGTTTCATACCTGATTGGAGTTTCATTCCAACTTTTCTTTATGTATTTAAAGAGATTCTCATTAATGTATTACACCTTTGAGGCAATGTTGTCAGTTTAAAAATTGAAAAAAGATGGAATTATTACAAAGCGTGTATCGATTCCTCACTGAACTTTATGACATTCAGAGAAGTCATACGTTATCTTTGTAAAAGGCTGAATTCTCAATTCAACAGTACGGTCATTTAAATATTAGTTTTACTGCACCAATGTTACCAAATACCAACATAAACAAACACTTTATAGCTCAAAGTACACTTTTAAAGTGAGTACTGGAAATTACTTTAGTCTTTAGACTTTGAAATAGCTGAGATTCCACTTCCACAAGAGCAGGATTTCTGTTTCAGCTTATTGATAGAGTCTGTTATCTGCATGCTAATGGTAAGTTACGTATGTGGTCAACATGAGAGCATGGTAAGGCTTAGATAAAACAGAAACAATAGGAAAGGCTTAGAAGTTAAAGCTCATGTGTCTTTAGCTTGAAGTGCTATGAAGTCATTAAAGGAGAGGAGCACAGTTGAAGCTGCAGAGGGATTCCTTTTCCATTCAGTTCAGAGCGACTGAGGTTAGAGCCAGAAATCCAAGATCACCGCACTGCGTGAGCTCCAGAAAACATTCCTAGCGTCATCCTGGTTTTCCAATCCCAGATTATGTTAATATATCGAGGATTCCTGAATGACTTTGCACCATGCATCGTTATAAAACAAGGGGCTGCTGCAGGGCTTTAGAGTGGGGTTCAACGTTAAACCCCACCAGAGAAAAATAAGAGTACCTGAAGTGGATCCTAAAAGTTCCTGGTGCTGGAGCCATTGGCTGTCAGTCTGTGGGGTCAGAGTCCTGGCAGTTATACTCAGCCGTCTCCATCTTGAGGATGTATGGAATGATGCTGTCAATGGAGACGTTACCTATCAAGCCAGTGAAGAAGAGCTCCTCTGTGATGCCCGAGTTCATGAGGCGCAGCGCCGGGAGACGAGTCAGGATACGGGTCAACCTGGGAGACATGAAAACTCATCTAAACTCATGTGTTCACTGTTTGGCAAAGGCGGTGCTCTTATATGTTCCATAGCGTTTTCTCAAATGTGTTTATGGTGCCAAAATGAATGTCAGTTAGCCAGAGAGACACTACATTTCCTATACACTAAATCTAGATCCTGAATCACTAAATCCTCTATACAAGTGAATACCAACTGTTGGGGAATCCTTTGCTTAGGTATTCAACCTTTCACACAGTTCATCATTTTCTCTTCTCACTGTCTCCTTTCCGATGGCATAGGTCTACGGCCTTGGGTATTGCTGCTATCTCTCTTAAGGAGGGGCAGCTTGGGCGCGTTGTTGTTGCCAGCTTATGACCGAGCACACAAGCTGACATGAGATAGTTGATTGTTCAGGGACATCTAGAAGCCCTTCTTTTTAGGAAGGGAGGTTCCCTGGGGCACATTATTTTCTATGGACGACAGCTCTAGTTAGATTCAGGGTCCATATTTGTTTAGTCTCACTGATAAAGAATGTTGATTATTACACTCCGAACTGGTTAAAACCTGGAGCTACAGAAGAGTTCTTCAGAATTGATTGTGGCATCTCAACCGTGTGGTCAAACCGTGGCCCGTGACATGATAAATAAACCATCAGTGTTTGCCATCAAAGCTCCAGCTCTCCTCGTGTCTCTCTGAGTCCTGTTTCCAATTGCTTCAGAAGTTTCCCCCACACCAACCTCTTTTGTTTTACTTCCAGAGCTCAAACAAAGAGCTTCGAGATTTGTCTTGGCAAATGAGAAGCGCTATATAAATTAAATGTATTATTATTATTATTAAATGTATTAAACAGATACGTTCAAGTACCACTCAACACCACCCGCAACCCCACATTTATTCATTTTAATGGATTTCTAAACTGGATGATATTAAACCAGATCAAAGCTAGAGTGCCTTACTTTCTATATATAAATAAACATCTATTTAATTTCAATCCAAAGAAGCTCACACAATACTGATAAAGATATCGTCACGAGGAAAATCTCCCTGTATTCTGCAGTATTTTGGATTTCTAGTGTCTGGCGCTGGTGCATAAATAAACACTTATGGTTATGAAGCTGCATTCATTTAAATGAGAGTGTATCAGATGACATACAAACTGACATGCTTGCAGTCCAGACGAGGATGGACAGGAAGTAAGAATGTACCTGTAGGTTTCCTCTGGGTACGTTTTCTGCACGTAGTCCTGCAGCTCCATCAGGGCTTTCTCCTGGAACTTCTCAATCTGACCACTGCTGTCCACACCTGGGTGATCTGATAATCAAACGGAACAACTGTTGATTTTCAAAATGCAAAATACAAGTCATTTATTCAAAGCACTCTCCCTCCTTCATGGAAATCTTTAGATTTTAATGATCCCTATCATTAACCAGGAAAGCAGACACTCACCAGGGCTGAACAGCACTATAGCTTTCAGGTAGGCGTACTCGTAGCTGTCCGTCTCCAGCTTCGTCATGCTGTTACAAAACTCCTGGAACTTCCAGATGTGCTCCATCACCTGCTTCACCCTCTCCCCCGAAAGCTTTTCTGGAAAAACGAAAATGATTTATAAAGAAGGCTTCATTATTTACTTTAAGATGAATCTTGCCTGGAGTGTCACGTCAACCAAAAATAAATATCAATATCAAAGACTGTTGACTGATGTTTTGTTAAAATCGGTGTTAATCTGAGGTGGCAGTTGCAAAAAATAAAGCAGTTTGGCCCAGAGTTCAGCTTACAGCCAAGCATAATATTTAGGGCTTGATTGTAGAGTGATTGACAGGATGGTCAGACTATACAAACCAGCACAGCCCCTAGTTGACCCCCCCACACACACAAACACACACACACACACACACCACAACACAGACTATATCACCCCTTGCTGCTAAATACCAACAAACTATGTGCAATATGTGCAATATATAAATGCCGTTCATAACTGTGTAATATATACCTGGCTGCTAAATCCGTAGAACTGTTACAGGATGTGTATTTTTTTAAATTATGTAACTGTAATTTTTTATTATATATTTTTTTAATTATATCATAACTAATAAGCTGTCTGTGGCTCTTTTTCCTGCTGTAACTACGCACATTTCCCCTCCGTGGGACTAATAAAGGTATTCTGATTCTGATTCTGATATATGCAGGCAGGCATCATGAGCGGAAAAAGAGCATGTAAACGTATTCTAGTAGTATCCAAAATGACCTAACTAAACCTGAACAACTGGATAATAGAGGACCTTTAACTTCCTACCTTCTGTGAAGTGGCAGTAGACACATTTTGGATGTAATTCATCTTTATAAAGTACATGTTAATGACACTTTCTAATACCTAAAGAATTAGGATTTGCACATTGGAGAAGCATTCATTTCCATAAGGCTTAGTGGTTGTGTTGGTGCAGTGAAGGAGTGTGAACGGTGCCAAAGGAGGAGAAACCCTCGCTCACATCTAAATTCAAACTGCTAAATAAAAAAATAGCCACATCTAGGTCTCACAGGTAACAGTGTGTGTGTTTTATAATGCTGCAGTAAAAACAACTTAGAAATATGAATCAAATCCCACTTCTTGACTCCTGAATATATGTGTGTGTGTCCTACTGAGAAGTGATGACGAGGTCTGAGGTCCATACCGTCCTGGATGCTGCTCTGAAGGTGGCTGATGATGGCGGCGAGGATGGTGGACAGGTTCATCTCGTGAGCGCACTGAGCCAGACCCAGAGTGAACAGCTCGTTCCAGCAGGCCCGCACCAGGCTGGTGTTCGCCTCCTGACTGAGGAGGACGGAGACAGAAGATACATAAGTGTGAGCAGGAAGACAGGCAATAATGCAACCTTTGGAAACATTCTCAAACAGACATTGTCTTTAGTGAATGTGCTTTTGAACATGTTGCACCCTCATCGTTGTGTGAGCTACGGGGACTCACCTTACTTAATATTTCTCTCAGCGTTGAACATTTAAAAACCGAATTGATTTGACCAGTGAATACGAATGTTGTGTTGCTTATAAGTGCATTCATAATTTAATGTAATAATTAATGTAATAATGTAGTTTGTTGCTTGTTCCTTTTATGGTAAACGTTGTACGTGTTGCCTTGGCCAGAAATCCCTTATAAAAGGAATTCTAAAACTAAATTGGGGTTCTCCTGGTAAAATCAAATAACAATTAATTGCATTACTAAAAGGAAAATAACTGTTTAAGTTAAGTCTTCCTGTCTCAAATGCATTCTCACCCAAGAGCTGAGAAGGCAGGGATGGAGCGTGCCCAGTGCATGGAGAGGAAGAGGAGTCTGGAGGCTGACTCACAGATGTAGTGCACGTTCAGATACTCAGGCATGGGGCTGGGCATGGTCAGCTGGACAAAGAAGGAAAGATCATAGGAGAGGAAAATATAAAACACTATGTGACAAAGATGTCTTACAGTGATGATTGCTGAAGTTAAAGAAACAAGATTTGCAGACTATGGCTTTAGCTTATACACAATTCAAAATTGTAAGTAAATAAACCATTGTATAAATCAGGGGTGTCCAAACTTTTTTCACGAGGGCCACATACAGAAAATGATTGGAAGGGCTGGGCCACTCCCTAGAGGTGAGGTATATTGCCTCAGAAGTTCAGTTAGAAGCTGGAAAAATCAATCCAATGAAGGTAAATGATTCTTGATGTTTTGTTGATCGGAACAAGGCTTCATGGTATCCTCCACAACAGCTATATGAACACTACAAAACTGATTTTGACAATTTTAGCCAAGTCTGAAGGTCTCTAAAAAAGTGTATAATTTGGTGTTCGGGGAAGACCTTGCACAATTGCTGTGGGTCACTCGGGGTCAAATTTGGCCCAATCAAGATTCCTCTTTGACTTTAGATGCCCCACCCCCACCCCTTCATCCACTGTAACAATAATTCAAAAAAAAATTGGGGGAGATTGTATTCTAATATTAGTCTATTATAGTCAGATAACGTAATGATCCACTGTCTTCACTATAGGAAATATAATGAGTGAATTGAATCACAGGTTTTACTTAAATATGTGGTGTATTGTTTGTTGGGGGCATCACATATAGTTACAACAGGATTGTACGGTTATGAATGCATAATAAGTTAGTTATGATGTAGTTAAAACAATATTGGATGATAGCCATTATCTTTGAGTGTTTTGGACTGAGATAAATCACAGGTCAAAATTGACCCGCGAACACCATGAACGGTAACAGCTTTCGAACACAACACAAGGGTTAAGAAAAAAACAGCCTACTTCAATAAGGTTTCATTTATTGTGTTGGCAGCTCATTCCTTAAAACAGAAGCTTCAGATTGGAAATATGAAGGGTATATCTCAAGGTTGTTATGTACATTTATTATTGGGCTTTTTTCTTATCAACTTAGATTTGTTAGAAAATGTTTCCAACTTTAATTGACTGAATATATTTGAAACTTGGGCTTATTAACACATGAATACTGTGTAATATATTTGAACATATATATTTAAGAATTCCAATATAAGACAAGCAGATAAAACAAATGACGACACAAGCAGAAGTTTCATTTATGGGCCATTGTCATGTCTCGCAAATTATGTTAGTTAGTTTTTGTCTTTGTCTAGTGATTTTCCCCTTTATTTTTGAATAGTAACCTTCCCTCTCGTTTCAGATACTCTGACCTCCCTTCCTTGTGTGTCTCCCACTCCTGTGATTGTCGACCCCGCCCCTGATTGTTTCCACCTGTTCCCCATTACCTGGTGTATTTATTGTCCTCGTCTCCCTTTGTCCTGTGCCAGTTCGTTTCGTTCCTTGTGACTACCACCAGCATTAGCAATCCAGGATTAACCCCAAGCAGAGCTTTGAGCCACGTCTTGTTTAAGTATTTTTGTTGTTCATGCTCCTAGTGTTTTTCCTCTTTAAGAGTGATTTTGTTTTTGTACCACTATCGTTGAGCTTTGGTTTGAATAAAACCTTTTTTTTGTTAAATTCTGTGAGTTGTGCATTTGAGTTCATACCCGTTTAATCAGTCGTAACAGTACGAACTGGCCTAAACATGAACCCAGCCGACTCTGAACAGCTGAGAGCAGCGCTTCGCTCTCAGGGAGGCCGCCTCGCTCAACAGGAGGATCAGTTAATGGCCATCCAGCAGGGAGTATCACACGTCACAGACAGCCAGAGGGAGTTCGAGTCATCTGTTACAAACCAGATTAACCACCTGGCGGGGCAGTGTCCACCCACACGCTGCTCGCTCACCTCAAGACTGAGCCTCACACCCACCTCCGGCCGGACCCGAAGCGAATGGCGGACCCCGGCCGCTTCCACACCGTGTCAATCCGCCTGGCTCCGCCTGAGAAGTTTTCGGGGATCATCCATGACTGCCGTCCATTCTGGTGAATTGCAGCTTACCATTATTAGCGCAACCTACCGACAGCTTTGCCACGGGAGAGATCCCAAGGTGGCTTTTATGATTTTCCCATCTCACCGGCGCGCGCGGGGCGTGGGCTACCGGCTGAATGGTCGACGTGACTCGCCGATATGGCGAGTCTTTGGGACAGTTTACGGACTCGCTCCCTGACCGAACATTTTTGACCACACGTCCCCAGGCCAGGAAGCAGCTCGGGCTCTTTACAAGTTAGTCAAGGAAAAGACCGCTGTGTGTTCAGACTACGCAGTGGGGGAATTCTCGCACCATTGGCGGCCGATTAGTGGCTGGAATCTTCTGTCGCTTTGTTTCGATGCTGCCTTTATTAATCGGGCCTTTCTGACCTATTAAGGATCAGCTGGCCACCTTGGATCTTGCCAGTGGAACTAGACTCTGTCATTCATGTTTATGTATTGATGATCAGACTTGCTGAGAGGAAATCGGGAGAAAGGACAGGGCTGGCTCCTACTCTTCTATTTCCACTCTATGAGGGCACCTTCTTCCTACTCTTCTCACTCTCAGGAAGACTGCCATCATGCCACTGTTCTCTTTCCTTCCATCCCAGAGATCAGCGTCCCCACACAAGGACGAGGAGGGCCAACTGCAGCCTGGGACCGTGCCAAGCTGTCACTCGTGTCCACGGGAGGAAGCGCGGCCGCGCGCCTGCTGGAGGGAAGATGTTTTTACTGCGGTCAACAAGAGGTTCATCTGTCTCTCTCTGGATGCCGGTAAAAGACGGGCGCTCACCAGTGAACAGGGAGGCACTGCGGGAGCCGTCTCTTCCACGGCAGACTCTCCTCCCCGCAAGTTGACCACATAAAGGTAATCTGCCATGAAAGACAGTAACTCTCAAAGAGTGTTAATTGACTCTGGGGTGCTGACGGAAAGGCCTGGATGGATTGGGGATTAGGCTCATGAACTGAGACTTAATACTGAACTTTTGTCGTCCCCTTTGAAAGCCAGTGCTCCTGGATGGCAAAACTCTCTATTTCATGGTCACACAAAGACCGAACCCGTCACTCATCGATGATTGATGATCATTTGTGAACTCATGTCGTTTCACCCTGTTAATTTCTCTGCTCAACATCCTCTTCATCCTAGGGTTTTTCCTGTCTAACCAAGCATAAACCCCTATAGTTGATTGGCGCTCAGGCTAAAATTAAAGGCGGGTGGGGCAGGAGGTGGTTCACAGGATTGTTTTAAGTGTGTGGGAAACGAGTGGCAGGGTAGGAGGCGGGTTCTGGGAATCGTAGTACCCCGATCGGCGTTCACTAATACTCAACATATCCTGACCCGCAAGAATCACAGACCCAGATTTTGCAACTTCTGTTCTGCTGTTACGATTGACTGGCCAAGGTATTTTGTAAAACCGTGAGCGCCACCTCCCTTCCCTCTCTAATAGGCCGTATGACTTGGTCGCCATCAATCTGTTACCTGGGGCTCCAAATTTCGAACAGGGCGGTAGGTTCTATAACTCCCATCTCGGGTCGGGGGATAGGGGAGGCTGAAAGGCGTACAGTTCGGCACCTCCTCTTCGTGCAGGTCTGATCGCCGCCAGTCGTCTCTCCCCGCCTGGGGCGGTT